ATACATAAGTATACATGCTACATACGTTTGTGTTGTATCAACTCAAATACATATTTATTTTATTTCTATTCGTAGATATTTCTGCTGCTATTAATGTTGTTGTATCTAGCCTCCTATGCGCTGGTGTCACGCTTTCGTCGTAAAGATCGTGACGATCTCTTCTCCACAGATGAAGATGAAGTGCTCGTCTATCGCATAAGGTATGTATGTATGCTGTATGTATTTATAATATGGAGTGAAATTAACAAAAAACATATAAATCCAAGTTTCAAACTTTACGCAATATCTAAAATATAGTTGTATACTTTCGAAAAAATGTCAAGCTTTTTAATAAAGTCTTGTTGACGGTGTTCTACATTTTGTTTCATAAAAAGTACATTCGACTACTTATTTCAACCTGCAAGACGCCATCTGTGCATGCATTTTTGCGATCGAATTTACTCATTTTATTCGGCAACTAGTTATGGTTAAACATTTTCTGAACTGATTCATATAAAATATTAACCCAAAGAACAATGAATTTGAGGAGCTAACAAAACGAATGTTCCTCTCCTTTGCGAAGTTCACGCCAGTTTCTTACATCAGGTGTAGACAGATCCTTCAGCATTTGGTCCTTTCAAGGCGTTCAAAGAGTCCCTGTTTCGTTGTTCATCCAAGGGAGCCGATTCATCCATACGCTCGATACTTCTCGAGTTAGCAGAATCGCTGCAGTTTTATGCGCTTAACTATGTCTCACGATATTATAAATCTTATACAATTCGTCGGACACGTAAATAGCGTCATAGATCTTCCTCAAGATATCCCCCAAAGGCTTTCTCATAATATATGGACATGATGAGAGATTTATAGAGAGGGTGAGTTTGTGTCAACAGACCGCTCTGCTTTTTTCAACTGTTAACCTAGCCTGCAGCAGCTTCTGTTATTATTTAAGAATATTATTCTTCGCTGTGTTCAAATACCCGCAGACTATTTGCGTGTTGCTGGGAATTTCGTCGTCGTTCACCGCGTGGTCTTTGGCCTCCTCTAATTTTTCTGTGATTCAGATTAGAGATGGGCACGGGATATTGGGACCCGCGGGACACATGGCACTGATTTCAAAATGACCGGGGTGGACGGTATGATAGGTTTCGGGACCCATAGGACCCGCGATACAATTCTGAAAAACGTCGGGATGGGCGGGTTTGATAGTTAAAAATTGAATTTCGGGATCGGCAGCTCTATCCACTATCTATATTGAAAAAGTTCCATCTCTTCTGGTTTAAAATGGTGCGGAGAGGCCTCAACGTCACTCTAAATAAGTACATACATACATATGCATGTGTCTTAAGTTCCCATCCCTCTCGTGTTGTTAGGAGTGGCTTTGAAGCACTGCTGAGCACTGCCTTGCCCGCGGGCAAAGCTCTTTTAAGCTTCCTATACATTTTGTATAGGCGCGTGAACAGCGAAAGCTCTCTCTGCTCATTGCTGTTTTGAAGTAAACGAAATGGTTGTATGTCGATTTGTTTGTCTAAGATTTGACGCACTACGAAAATCCGGTCAATCGCCAGCTAACCGCATCTTCTTCCTTCTCCTCAAAATACGTCTCCTCTCTCTTGCTGTCTGGGAACGCTCAATAATCGCTCGCGTAGCAATTGGCTGCAGAGCGGCTTTGCAGTGCTGCATATTTCACTGCAGAGACTACACTCTTCGTTTTACCAGATGTTTCTGCGTGGATAAAAGTAGCCATCCACCTGTTGTTGTTGTTGTAGCGGCTAGTGTGTCATCGACGTCAATTCCTAGCGGTAGCCTGACCTCCTTCGTCCAGGTTGTGAAAAGGGTCGCTGAGGATTTCGTAGGGGAGAGGGCTAGACACTTTGCAGTGAAGAAGCGAGACAGTTCAGAGAGATATCCGTTTACTTTCGAACACAGGTCATCAATTCCATTCCCAGTCGCCATGATCGAGCATTCGTCGGCGTAAGAGATAATCGAGACTCCCTCTTGTGGTTGAGGGAGCTTTGAAATGTACAAGTTAAACAGTAGTGGGGAAAGGACACCACCCTGTGGAACCCCCTGTTTTATTTTCCTAAGTTTGCTCGATTTGTCTCTAAACATTACCGACGAGTGTCGACCACTTAGATAATTTGCCGACCACCGTTTGAGCCCCTGTGGGAGAGAGGAAGCCTCTATATCTTCTAGTAGCGTGGAATGGCTGACAGTGTCAAAAGACTTTGACGCTACTAGAATCGTTCTCTCACAGGGACGTTTACGGTTAAGGCCACGAGTTATCTGAGTGTTTATGGCGTTAAGTGCTGTTGTTGTAATTTTACGGAAACCATGCTGATGCTTCGCTGGGGTCAAGTGATTTGTGAAATACGCGAGTAGCAAGGCCTCGAGTGTCTTCGCTACCGGGGAAAGGAGTGTTATCGGACGATAAGAATCTCCTATGTTGGCAGGTTTCCCCGGTTTGAACAGTGGGACCACTCTCCCCACCTTCCAGATGTCTGGGATGATGAGAGTGGCCATGGACAAATTAAGGACCTCCGTTAGGTACGCTACCCCCCCAGGACCCAAATTTTTCAGCATCAGCATGTATATTCCTTCGGGACCCATGGCTTTGGAGACTTTCGCCTTCCCGATGGCCACCTGAACTTCACCGCAAGTGAAAGCAAGGGGCACAGGTTGTGCAGCCTTCTGGTCACTCGACGCTTGGCTTTGTCCACCGGAGGATGCAGTATGAACTGCCGGCTAAAATAGCTCGCGCATCGGGTCCGACGAAGCATGGTCGCCGAAAAAAGTTTCGACTCTATCGTCGTGCTTCGTCGGATTGGACAGCGACCTCACGGTTGACCAAAGCGTACTCACACCAGAGGTGAAGTTGCAGGTCTTCAGATGCTCTTCCCACTTCTTCCTCTTATGTACGTTTACTAGTGGCCGAATCTCCGCGTTGAGATCCCTGACACAGGGATCTCCGGGATCGGCCTGACGCGAGACGGTTGATAAAGATATTTGATCGTCTCCATGGCGCTTAACATAAAAAAAAAATGGAAGTAGTAACAGGAAAAGTGGTTTTTCGCGTTCCAGGTGACTTTTATTTTTTCTCTCTTGCTCCTCTCTTTCAAGAGAGTAATTTTATTATTTGACAGTTTTACAGGTTTATACACGAAGTTATCTGGAACGCAACTTATGTTTTTACCAGGTTGGTCCCAAGACCCACGCACCACCCAACGCTGAAAGGATTTTAATATAGTAATCGTTTATGTAGCGGGCCACGTGCTCCAAGACTGACACGCCCTTGCATCCTGTGATTAACCCAGGTCCCTGCTTAAAATAGTAAGCGTAGATACATACATACATAGTATGTATGTACACATCGTCAACTGAAATGCAAAAAGCCGTAACTGAAATGCAAAAAGTTCTGAATAATATTATCATTTTGTTTTATAAATCGATGTGGGGAGTTATAATTCGATCAAATCAAAAAGTGAATTTTGAATTTTTTAGGAGTCACGGCATTTTGCATTTCAAACAATGTACAAACGTTTATGCAAGCATATCTAGAATCTAGGTCAATGACCTTTTTGATGCACGAACGCACTAATTGCAGTCACAAACACATAGTTTTTCAATCTACAACATCCGTTTGTCGTTTTGATTTCAGTTCCTGGTTGTGCACATTTTCGATGGCGATCGCCGTGGGCGCAGCACTTCTGTTGCCGATTTCAATAGCCAGCAATGAAATTTTGTTGCTGTACCCCAACAGCTACTACGTGAAATGGTTGAATAGCTCTCTTATACAAGGTAAATTCTTAACTGATTCGTAAGCG